GTTTAGGGTTTAGGGTTTAGTTTCTAAGGGTTACTCTAGGGTTTACCATCAAGGCTCGAAGGGTAAGGCCTTGGAGGTTGAGGGTCTGCTATAGGGCTTAGGGGTTACTTTTTAAGTGCTGTAAGGGTGACTACAGGGGGTCTACTATAAGCACGATTATGAGAGTGTGCTCCTTTTTTTGAAGGGGCATGGAGGTTGCTATAAAGGGTTGCAGTATAAGGGTGATTGTAGGACTTCTTGGTTAAGATGAGGGTTGGTGTAAGGGGTCGCTAGAAGGGTTGCTACAAGGGCGGACCGTGCTGCGAGGTCTCTAGAAAGAGCTTGGTTGTTTGGGGTATAAGGGTTTACGACTGCTCGTTTGCAGTTCACGGTGCATTATCAGGAATTTAATTTGAGTTAGCTTAATAGGGATGCATGGTAACTAGTAGAGTTTCTTCTTGCAGTAGCTTAAATGCAGTTCCCGAACCAGACTACGGGGTTCAGGGTGGTTGCCTGGAGTTTTGAAGGCGCTCGGCGGTCGGGGTTTCAAGAGTTTTTGCTTGCTTTTTCCGGATAATGGGTTCAACTAAGGGTTTGGGAGATAGTTTAGGGCTGTTGGTTCAGGGGTGTTCACCCTATGGCCTAGCTTGGGACGGCAGCTGCCAGCTAGCCAAACCGCAGTATTCTGCAGTAGGCAAAGGAGAACGGTAGGTGGTAGTGGCAGAGGCAGTAGCAGTGGCAGTGGCAGTAGGTCGGAACCGGATTGCTGTTTTATGCCTGGTGGTACGCTGTCGTAAGGTCAGGCGAAATCACTCGGTGCCTTCCTCACTGTCGTTGGCCTGGCGTTCTCGGCGCTGTTGATCAGGACCCTGATCGCGTATCCGCTTCTTGGCTTCTCAGGAGGTCAGGCTTCTAGCGGAGCAGTTTCGCGGGTTCTTGTAGGATTCTGTGTGGGCCTTTGACTTCGTCGTCGGGCAACTGGGCGTGCGTTCCTCTGAGGCTTTTCCCCATTCAGCCGGACGATGCAGAGTGGTCGTCAATGTGGCTCGTGACTGCTGTGGCTTCTTCAGCACCGAATGGCTATCAGTTTCGGGAAGAGGGATTTTAAGCCAAGCCCAAGCGTGGAAGTAGGAGTAGCTTTGGTAGTTTAAGTACGTGACTACATGAGTACATGAGTAATAGTAGTAGTAGTAGTA